TGACCCGTTCTCTTGAATATGTCTTTAAGGCTGATTACCTTCTCTGATGATGTTCGTTATTCGACGCACAAAAGCTTAGCACGTTTTCACTTAAATCGAAAGATATTACCTCGGAAACAGCGTCAAAAAGAATGTCCCATTAAAGCCAAGAGGAATCCGCTGTGGTCTTCCAATGGGATCGACCTTCGAATCTCTTCACCAAACACTTTCACTCGAAACGTAATTCTCTTTGCCTCATCCATTTTTCTCAAGTTGTGCATTTTAACGTAGGTTGTTTTTGCCTCAGCCCTCCCTATTGCCAAGCAGACCAGTGTACCTCCACTCCCGGGTGGCATTCGTCGCACCCATGCCACATCGGGTGCCGCCAGTTTGAATGCAACCGGCCAGCTTCTCTCGGGCCATATGCACCACCCTGGAGGAGCTGCCGGTGGCTTCTTTCTGCCCGGACAACCAGCTGGTCTACCGACGGGAGGCATTTCTGCCGACGACCGGTATGCTGCTTCAGGTTTTGGAGTGGTCGCATCCAGAGTTGGTGCTCCGGGACAAGTTAATCGGACGACAGGAACCCCAGCGCTGGCGTCACCTAGCAGGATTGGCGGAACAGTTGCTGGACGAGTAAGGGTCATCTTCTATACATATTTTTTTCAAACTCGGCTTTTCACGCTGATCTTGTCTTTCTCAGCAGATAAAAGCTCAGTACGCTGATAAACACTACTCCCAAATCAGCTATTTACTTAATTGCAGTCCTGTGGCCCTAGTATCTGAATCTCTTTCATCCGAACTTTTACTTAGTTAAACTGATCTAAAGCTATCATAATAAACTCTGGTTTATAATCTAATTTTCACTTACGTTTGATTGAAAATTTTAGATTCGAAGGTAAACACCAAGATGATGTGGCCTTTAGTATGGTTACAGTCTCCTTTTATTATATAGACGAGGTTTAGCCACGTTTTCACACCTTGATCATATTGTAAGAGTGACCTGGATGAACGCACTTAATCCGGACTCCTCTGCCATAGTATTCATGATAATTTCCAGCCTCGTACCGTGGACTTGGTACATTCGCAGACGTTTTGCTGGCATTATTAGTGTCTTACCAATCTTATTAGCCACTACTATATGTCAGAAACAAGCAAAATTCATTCTTTGATCAAATATCTGCTGAACGATTGTAATATCTCTCTTGTCCTTGTACGTTCATCTATCCCCTATCCTCATATCACCCCCTTCACTATCACGATTTTAGCCTTGTTCGGGTTTTACCTCGTCAAATTGTTACATCGTCTAGTTGTTTCGACATACATTTTTCTCTATGACGATACCGGCAAAAGTTCAGAAATTTCTGGTCATCTTTATGGCTATGAAGAAGATTTGCGAGATTTTTATGAAGGATTTATCTGAAGCTGATTGTTTTAGTCAATATGGATATAGAAGATATGAAGATCAAGATTTTGTGGCCTCTGGTATGGTCGCAGTCTCCCTTAGATTTATAGCAGCGGGTTGACATCGTTGTCGCAACTTGGTCTTGTTGTCAGGGCGACTTAGTAGAACGCACTCAGTCCAAAGTCGTTGTAATGATTCCCAGCATCAGAGAGTGGACTTGGTACATTCTTAAACGTTTCTCCGGCATCATCAGTGAGTTTTGCCATTCGCCGCACCAAGCTACGAAATCGTCGAAGAGACAAACGAGAAACGTTTGGGAATGTACCAAGTCCACTGTCTGATGCTGGGAATCATGACAACTACTATGGCAGACGAC